TATGTTTACTACAAATTACTAATTTACAACAGTTTTAATTATGGCTCATCCTTCGCTTCTTTATACACCTGAACTATCTGCTATATATTCTGTTAAGGTATGTAGTATAGCAACGTTCCCTTCATGTTTTTCCCATCATAGTCAGTAATAAGAAACATTAGACATTAGATAAGTAATGTACACAAACTATTTTAAAATTACATTGTGAAATATATTCAAATTAATCTTAAACTTTAGAGAGGTAGAGTGTCAAGTGAGGGGCCAGGCCCTGGCAGTGGTGGGTGTTGTCAACTGTGTGGTCTGAGATTGGATAATTTATTGCATGGCCATGGGAGCATGTTTAGCATTACATCATCTTCCCTGTTGATCTTTCTAACCTTCTGAATCAGAAATTAAAGATCTGGGACCCTATCCCTTTCAGTCACCTTCAATGTATTTGAATTAAGGGCTATTGTATTTTTTTATACACCACAGACTCACTGTTTCTTTCTGCATATCTGAACCCTCCACTTTTTATTACAACGCACTCATTAGTCTCCATGGCAGCATTGGTGTCACAGAAATTCACCGTGAGAAATTATGTCAGAGAGCAAAACATTTGAAAGTAAAACAAAAAGCGACATTGACTGGCATGCGGTGATCTCAAACCTCTTCAGCAGTCAACACCTATGGTACATTTTCCATTTAATGGTTTTTCACCATCCACAAATAACCACGCTCACGTGCCCGTTAACTCCTCCGTCAAAAACACTTGACGCCGTTGCTCCCACTTCACTACCACTATAACCACCAACTGTCCCACTTGGCTTGGCCAACAACTATAGCCCACCCTCGGTCCCCTTTCTCCATTCCTTTTATCTCTTTCACACCAACCATCAGGGTATAATAGGGACGCGACATTGAGACGGTGGAGCTAAGAAAATGAAGCAGTTTTCCACGTTCTTCATTCTCCTTTCACTGGTTGCGCTCGTGGACTCTAAATATTATTCATGCAAAAATGAAGACCAGGAGCTTGTGTCAAAGGCGTTTCAATCTGTGTCTGGATTCAACTCTTCCTGGTTCCAAAGCCCTTCTAATTGTTCAAATGCTGATTTTATTAAAGGACTAAATCTTTCGTTCAGGAACCTAAGGGGAAGCATTTCGTGGAAGTATCTGAGGAACATGTCCAAGTTGGAGGTTCTAGATCTGTCTGGGAATTTCTTACAAGGGCAGGTACCAAACTGGTTGTGGACAAGCTCATCCTTATTGGTAGTGAACCTTTCCCAGAACAGCTTCGGAGGGAGCATTAACCCCACTTACCAAAACGGTTCCTTTTCATCGCTGAAAAATCTCAATCTCTCGTACAACAGGTTCACCAACCAGCTTCACCTCTCTGTTTTCTCAAACCTTAAAAGCCTCGACCTTTCACACAATAACCTCAGAACTTTACCTTTGGGGTTCCAAAACCTCACCAATCTACACCACCTTAATCTCTCCAACTGCAACATCAAAGGCAGCGTAAAACCCATTTCCACCTTAACCTCACTATCCTTCTTGGACCTTTCGAACAACTCTTTGAACGGTAGCTTCCCCTCGGATTTCCCTCCCTTGAAGACCATAAAATTCTTGAATATCTCTCACAACAACTTCAAAACATCCACCGCATTAGACAGATTCAAAAAGTTCGGCAAATCGGCGTTCATTCACGCTGGTAACAACTTCAGCTACACCACATCCAAAACCCCAAAGCTAGGTGCAACCTCGACATCAGCTTCAACTTCAACCCCACCACACCAACAGTCCCACCACATCCAGGCGGAGAAGAAGAGGCCAAGAGAAAAGCAAAAGTCAAAACAGAAACCAAGAAGCATGATTGCGGCCCTGTCGTGTGCCTCGGCACTCGTGGTTGTCGGATTGTGCATGTGCGTTGTGTGGCGTTGCAGAAGGAAGAGGCAACTGGCAAAAAGGAACAAGTGGGCGATCTCTAAACCGGTCCCAGTGAACGTGAAAGTGGAGAAATCGGGACCCTTCGCATTCGAGACAGAATCAGGGACATCCTGGGTGGCTGACCTGAAGGAACCCTCTTCCGCACCCGTGGTCATGTTCGAAAAGCCTCTCATGAACCTCACCTTCGTGGACCTCATCGCTGCCACGTCACACTTTGGCAAAGACTCTCTCCTGGCTGAGGGCAGGTGTGGGCCCGTGTACCGCGCTGTCTTAACCGGAGACATCCACGTGGCAATCAAAGTCATCGAAAACGCCAGAGACGTCCATCATGATGACGCTGTCGCTCTCTTCGTTGACCTTTCCCAACTCAAACACCCCAATCTTTTGCCCCTCTCCGGTTACTGTATTGCAGGTAGCGACCCTACTTTCACGAATTGGGCCAAAGTTTTTACTTTTCTGATACAGTTCCAAAATTCTGATCTATAACTGCGCACACCAGTGTCCTTTGACTTAACCTACTCACATTAAATGCCTCACGGGTTTTAATTTTTTGTAACGTCAGCACTCGTTAAGTTAACCTATTCAGTAACTATTTCCACCTAATTCTACCACTCGCTATCATTACGTGTAGAAATTCATGCATGCAATTTTTACAATTTGAAAATTTGAAATATTGTTACTGTTATTATCAGGGAAGGAGAAGCTCGTGCTGTACGAGTTTATGTCCAACGGAGATTTGGGTAGGTGGTTGCAGGAACTACCGGCAGGGGAGACTAACGTCGAGGATTGGAGCGGTGACACATGGGAGATTATTCAAAACGGCGCCGTTTCTCGAGCCTCGCCGCCGGAAAAGATGGGCTGGCCAATACGCCACCGTATTGCGGTGGGCGTGGCGCGTGGGTTGGCGTTTCTGCACCACGCGGGGTCAAGGCCCGTTGTGCACGGCCATCTCGTGACCTCCAATGTCCTTCTCGGCGACGACTTCGAGCCGCGAATCGCGGATTTCGGGTTCCGGAAGTTTGGAAGGGAGGGTGCTGCCGCCGCGACGAACTGCTCGACGGAGACGGATGTTTACTGCTTTGGTGTGGTGCTTATGGAGCTTCTGACGGGGAGGGGCGGCACTGCGGAGACGGTGGTTTGGGTGAGGAAGGCGGTAAGGGAGGGACACGCTGTGAAGGCGCTGGATGAGAGGCTTAAACTCGGCAGCGGCGGCGACTCGGAGAGTGAGATGGTGGAGAGCCTCCGAGTAGCGTATTTGTGTACGGCCGAGTCACCCGGGAAGAGGCCCAGCATGCAGCAGGTATTGGGCCTGCTGAAAGATATTCACCCGAGTCACGGACTGGACTGAGTTCACTCGGGCAACGAATTGGTTTTCCATTTTCCACGCTAAACCTGGATGAGCAACTCGATTCCTGGTTGCATGCCATCTGGCAATGGAGTTTTGGAGCATCTAACAGTTGTTTTTGGAAATTGCTTTGAATGAAATATATCATAAGGTATATTTATGGCTATGATTGCAATGTATATACGAAAAAGTTGGGAAGAAAAGAAAAAGGTAAAAGGGAGAAAGGTGGAGAAAAAGAAGCGTGTGAGTGAGCATGCATAAACATTACATGTTGCAAAGGGCAGAGAATCCCACTTATTAATTGTCTATTCTAAGAGGGACTTTTATCCCTTTTATTTATGTTTGCTTTTACTTTATTCTAGTGTTAATTTATTTCTCTTTAGTTTAGGATAGAACATCTTCTGAAAGAAACAAAGAGGGTAGATGAGATAGATGCACCTATGCTTTTGCATCTCCACTTGCTACAGATAACGTGTTTGTTTTATTGAAACTAAGGGGCGACCAACATGGGTTCCTCCCTTCTCATTTTCACTCTTTTTATCTCATTAGGTAACACAATCTTTATTGTCAACATTCTACGCTAATTACCACTATTTCGATAGAACATGGAATCATTCAAAACTAATACTTTGAAAATTCCTATATTTAATCATTTCAGGTGCTTACAAGGCTATCACGCCTTAGAATTACAAATGATCAATTATTTGAAAAAAGTGGAATGCTTCAGTTTTTGAGCTCTTTTTAGCTTTTGCTTTACAACCAACCACATCTGTTTCCAAATATGCTACAAATTCAGCCATTCTGGGCACTTCAGTATTTTTCTGAAACTTATTCATGGGTTGCAGTTTACTTTTGACCTTCCGCAAATGAATAACTCAGTGGCTGGATTCCACTAAAGTTGGTTACAGAGGTCAGGTAAGATTTCAAATATTATATACTATACTGGAAACACGGGCATATACGCGTTTATTTATACATTTTCTTCTAGGATAAAAAATATAACTACATGTTAATTTTAAGGATGAATCAGAATAAAATTAAAGTTTAAGATGTCTATCTATAAAGAAAATAAATTTCAAGTATTAATTAAAATAAATCTAACGTTTATAATACCTATTTTAAAAACGATAAAATTTACGAGGGTTAAATATTCTTTCCCAAGTGTGAAAATTTTGAAACTCTTCATTTATAGGGCTTAAGAATCACAAGGCTATCACGCCTTAAAGAATCACAAATGATCAATTATTTAAAAATACTAAAGATTGTTTTTTTTTCTATTTCAAATGTAAAATGTTTTCAGTTAACCTTTCGGTTTATTTACACCACTACTGTCTTTTTGGGAAGGGTGGGAGATGCACCCATCTGAGAAATACAAAATTTATGCATTTTTCTGTCAGGGAAGATTTTGTACCAAATGTTTATATGATTCTATCATATTTTCCTTTTTCCAATTCAATAAAAGCGGATGAAAAAAAGAAAAGAAACAAAGACGAACGATGACTCTGCCCCAAGTTTTCATTGTGAGGTCATTGATGAAGTTTCTCGATAACATGCTCAAGCTCCATAACTAAGGGGAACTAAATACATTATCATGTGTTCAATTTCAATCACTTCATTGTTTTCTTATTTTCTTATTTTATGCATTTGGATCGTATTTTGTTTATTAAAATTTGTCGAGCTTGATATGTTCTTTTCAACATTAGTACAATAATGCTGATAGAATCTATTCTTTGAAAAAAGAAGGCAATTTATAGGATCGAGGGTAAGATACTATACATGGGGAAAAAATCAATGGCTAAAGAAATTCAATCTAACAAGGAAGTGTTTTTTTATTAACAAGTGTTGATGTAAAGACTAGCTAGTAGCTAAAGGTGTTTGCACATGCACTCAGCGCACCGGGGATTTCTATAAATGCTTCGGCCATAACTCCTAATGCCAGCCTTCTGACCTTCCAGAATCATCTTCTTTACTCTGACTTCAAACCTGTTCCATTTTATGGTGTTGTTCTCCCTCAAAATTGCGGCCAGCCTTGTCTTGTTTGGCCGCAAAGTAGGAGCATGATCGCCACCATAGTAGGTTCTGAATCCAGAAACCAATGATGAAAGTTGGCTACCAGAGTCAGTCATAGCAAATACATCAGCACTTGCACATGCAATGAAATCCAAAGCCGCCAACTGCATTCACATCAAGTTAATGTTATTAGTAACTATAATTATTTAGTATTGTGAAAATATTTAGTTGACATTAACAGTATTGACAATGCTATCCCAGATATAATTTCTTGTCTGATTCTGAACCTTAAAATGTACTTGGGTAAACTTCATATTTCATTAAAATCTTACATATATTTTCAAGAACATCATGAACAGTGAAGTAATCTGAGTGGATACTAAAAAAAATGGTAGAGTGAGACCATTATTGTCAAAGATAATGGAGAGAATACGAAATTACCTGCGACGAAAAATTCCTGAAAGGTGCCAGTTCACTGTCTGTAAGCAGGTTTTCCTTTGTGATCACATTAGGATAGAGGCTAGTGAAGGGTTCCATTCTTGAGTTTCCCCCATAAATGTGTGAACCAGCCAAGTAAATATAAGTTTCGGGTTTGAAACCAAGACCAGCTAGAACAAGTGCTGCTTCTTCTGGTGTCAACGGACATCTTCCCAATTTTCTCAAATTCATTGGAGAAATAGAGCTATAAACATCAACAGAAAGTGCATCAAACAGATTAGATAAACGACAAGGATATTTACCATTCAAAACATTATATAGCAAAGCATATGGTAGAAACATGCATACGTTGAATTCTTCTTCAAGCGTTCAAGAAACAGAGGGAAATGTCTTTCTCTATAGGCATGAAGTTCCTTCCTCTCTTCTTCCCCGCCTCCAAATTCGCATAAGGAATAGGCTACCATGTCTATTTCAAATCTCAAGTGCAAAGCTAGATATTTTGCCGAGCCCCTTTTACCTTCATGATATTTGTTGTTGTGGATGAACTTTCCCACCAATTGAGTGTCTAACATGCTTCGTCGAGCACCATATTTCCTAATCCTTTGGATCAATATCGAGCCAAGTTGTTGAATTTTTGGCGCGAATTTCAAAGCGTGGAAATTGCATTTGCATCTTAACCTCTGCAAATGGAATTGTTGCAAACATATAAAAACTCATTCTAAATTTGAACCTTAAAAGTGCACTAAACGAGTGCAGATCTGATGCAAATAACACTTAGTTATTCAAGTGGCCAGATCTGATTACTGCGTAATGAAAATGAAGAAAAACTCTTCAAATGATAAAGGTTGGTGGAAAAGAACTTGTGAAATAAGTAGAAATAATCAATCAGATCATGGAAAACAGATAGCAAATCTTACTCATCAGGTGGTAAAGGAAAGAACAGAAGTACATATTTTTTCTCTGTTGGAATTTGAAGCTTGTATTAAAAAGTACCCGTGTGAAAAGATAATGCCAATGCACAAGCAAAATGATTTGCTTACAATCTTAAAAATTTTTTGGACCATGATTATATATCTGATAGTAACAAAAGGGGTACATATTTTTGTTTAAATTGTATACGGTAAGCCAGTGGCAGTCCTATTGACAACACAGTATTGTAGATAAAGGTAAACTTCCAACAGAGTAGTAACCTGTTTAAAACTAGACAACCAAGGTAAAACTGTATGACCTGAATATCAGAAGGCAATGGATCAAAACCTAGTCGATTTCCATATCCCAGGAAGTGAACAACTCCATTTCTCAAAAGAATAGGAAGCACAACTTTGATATAGTCAGCAGGTGTGGCTTCCTTGGTAAGATCTGCGTCTGTAATCTAAAAAGCAAGGTGTTTATTGAAGTTGTTGTTATAACGGGTTTAGTCTGTCTTCTTAAGTACATCAGACGAAAGATTACAAACCTGGCTACCAATCGCTTCTACATCCAGGGATTTCATGTGAGGTGGAAGTTCCTTCTCAATATTGATATCATCCTTCAAGGTATTCATGAAATACTCCTCCTGGTATATGTCACCAAACTGGCTGCAATTTTTAATTAATTATTACATAAATTGTTGAGTCATTCAATTGAAATCAAATACTGTAAGTGCAGGTGTATGACACCAAATCGTGCTGTAATCAAGTAAACAAAACATGTACAAGTGAAAAGTTCAGTTTTTACTTTACTACCGAACACATTTACCTTGGATCCTTCCATACGTTACTGTAAAGAAATTCTGGAATGACTAAAGTTGCATTCAGGAGAGATGCCACAGCAACAGCATTGCAAATCTGTAATCACTACGGTAGTCTCATTACTTCCATTATTGGTATGCCAACAGGATGTCAAAAAGAAAGGATAAAAGATCATATTTGATCACAAGTATAGCAATTAACTACGTGCTTGAAAGTTGATAGCCATTAACTAAAATGGTTGTATGCGTCCAGTATGTGAAGGACCGAAAAGATATGAATTAACTTCTTGTACTTACAGCAACTCGTTGTTGATTAAGACCACCATTTGCGCTGATTAATATGTAGCCATTACTTTGCACAGGCTTCCCTGTCACAGATTATAAACTAGTTACAGAGTAGTATACCAGGCAAATAATTTTCTGATAATAAGTTACAATTTAAACTTCAAGTTGTTGATATAAAAGCATAAGAATAAAAACACGTCGTAAAGTTTTCTGCACGTTTTTATTACATACCCGAATTGGATTGAACTTTTCTTTCTGCACAAGGTTTCCATGAAGATGCCTGGCGAAATGGTTCCACCCATAAATTTGACGACTCTTGCTTGAACTCCTTCTGTGGTAACAAAAGACAGAAATAAACTTCAGATATTGAAAAGAAAAAGTATCTAAACACATGCACATCAATCTGTAAGTTTGATCCTAACCTCTGCAAGAGCACTGGAAGCCAAGTTTAGAAGTCGTTCATACATATATACTGGCGATTGTTTTCTGTAGATGTAGGAATCTCTACCCTTTTCATTAAAACATGCATTAGTTATATATGCCAATCAGCAAAATATCACATAAATTTTAAGTACAAGGCAACTTCAATTATACAGACTTGAGACGTGCACCCCTAGTTAACATAATTTACGCTCAAATATTCTGAAACATCACATTTAAAATGTAGAAAACAATTTTACTCAAGAATATATGAGTTCGAGGAGGGTGCTTGCACGCAAGAGATTCTGTACTTCTACCTGAAACGCACTTGAGTTATTTGGAGCTGTACGGGGTTGAAGATTGGTAAACTCAAAAAATGAGATGATAAGAGAGTCAAGAAGAAAAAGGCAACCCAACAATCCAAACATGACAACAATGGCCCTGATGTGCTTTTTCCCTACATAGAGCCCCCTACAAGAATTGCATTTTGAAGAATCACTTTTCAACCCCTGAAGCAACAAGGTTTTGGAATGCCAACCCTGAAACTCAGAACGTAGACTTTTATGAGACCCTTGTTTCCCCATTACACCACCACCTATCAGCTTAATTTAAAGTAGCTAAAGTTTACGACTTTAACTATTCACATAAGCCTCATCCCCTCCCTTTTCCCCATACAAAGATAAATGGTCACTGAAACAAGAAGAAAGAATTCTAAGAGGCATGAAAAAATGTATGTTTATGGTGTCTTGCTGACTATTATGGATTCCAAAACCGAACCACCAATCCATTAGAATTCAAGTTTGGTGGGGCAATAGGGAATTAAGCAAAAGAGTGGAGCTTTCTGGTATGTTTCCAAGTGAAGCGAAGAAGTAGGTGATGGAGATATGCAGCTGAGAAAGTTGTAGATGAATGAGTGAAATCCAAGCGAAAGATGGAAACTCAACTGTGCATTGAAAACATACCTTATGGAATAAGAATGAGAATTAATGTATATGAAACAACAACTTCCCACCAAACACAACACTGACAGCAGGTGTTGGGAAGCATTTTCAGCTTTCTCACTTCCAAATTCCATCTTTGACAAGCAAGGAAGTGACACTACCAACAACAATAACAACAAACATTTCATCAACTTTTCTTAATCCTTTTCATTTCTTCTCTGAATAGTTTTTCCTTTCAACAACATTGGCTTGTTTACGCTACTTGCAGTTTTTGGTTTGGCGGGCTTTTAATATTTATACAATGCACGTTCCAATGATAAAATTAATAATGAAATAAACAAAGACTTATTAAAATTTTAAAGAATGTATATCCAAATTAATCCTCCAAAAATATGTGACGTAATTATTTTAGTTTCCTAAAATAAGAAAAATTAAAATAAATCTCTGCATGAGAACAAAGTGGCTCTTATCTAGTTTTTGTTCACTTGGAGGAGATGATTTGGGGAGAGTGAATGGATAAATTTGAGGATAAATTTTTTGTTGTTTATTTGAATAGATTTGGAAGTAAATGATAATAGATTTAGAAACAAAGTTTGTAAGAATTAGTGTACGATTTGATTGATGTGATAGATAAAAATATTTTATGTAATTGATAAAAATTGAAATTACCAAAATATCTCTAGTTATAAAGGTAATATAAAATGATAATTGTTAATGTTATATTTAATTATAAAAATATTTATAAAGAGAAAAAATTAAAATTAATTTTAAAAATGTAAAATAATTATAATTTAGTAAATTGAAATTATTTTATTTAGTAAATTATAATTTAGTAAATGTAAAAAAATTCATCATTACCACAACCACGTGTATACGTATTCATTCTCCTCCGCCACCTCAATTCTTCATTTCAACACATGTCAACCTATGCATATGCGTGTCATCCTATGCCCAAATCTCCATGCATGTTCTAAGGACCTACCCCTAACATCCCTCACTTCATTCATCATTCATCACGAATACTACTACGATATTCTATCCAATACACCATGGTCACGAAAAAGTGGAATTGAATACAAAGGCAACGTAGTGTTATATTTGGAATGCACGGGAACCGAATACAAAAAACTGAGAACGAAATACAAGACTGTGTTATTTTTCTTTAACACACGGGAACCAGATACATCAAATCTGGAATTGGATACTCGATCCTCACAAGGGCAAACATGACATTACAAACCAATTCACTCCAAAATATCAGCGAGCGATAGAAAAGATACCTATCCCGCAAATCAATACAATCACTTCTTACAATAAACACACTTAGTCTCGTAAATCTACGTTTCTATTCTTTCGTGAATAGTTAAATCATCTAAAGTGAACATAAATTAATGTATGAAAGAAGTCATACTTCAAATTATTTACATTGATCATACGAAAAAAAACTGGAGTTATCCACGCAGGTGGACTTGATAAAAGAAAAGTTTAATTAGTAAATTATTTCATACATTTTAAAATTGGTTAAATATTTCATACATTTTAGAAGCCCCGTTTGGTCCGAACACGTGGACAAGTTGCAGACAAGTTTTTTAACCGGGGTTTCTTCCTGCACCCCGTTATTGTCTTTTTGCACCTCCAACTTTTGTTTCAATTTCCATTTTACTCTTACAAAATATATATTAAATAAGTAAATAAACAATCTTCACCTTTCATCTTTCTTTCTTTGAACACTTTGAAACATTAAAGTTGTGCAAAACCCTTATTTTCTCATTCTATTATCTCCATTTTCTCTCACCATCAAAGGTGTGTGAAAGTTGTTTGCAGTTGTTCGAACAAGATATTCAAAGTGAATTGAATTTTAATATTTTATTTTACTATAATAATAAAACATAAATATTATATCTTCCATTTTAATTTACAAATATATAATAAAATTAATTTAAAATTTTAGTAATTTAATTAAAATTTTTAAATAATATTTTCCCTTCAAATTTTCTTAACATTGCAACGAAAGTTCAAAGAGTAAAAGTATTATGGCTTTCTATGTTTTAATATTTCTTTTAATCCTCAATTCTCACACTTTCAAAACATTTATTTCCCTATTTTTTTTTTCCGTCCGGAAATAAACATACGGTTAGGTTTTTAAAACTATTCTACATAAACAAAACAACATAAATAATAAAAATAAATTGAAACCAATAATATATATTTTTTAATAGAATATTTCTACATGAACTAAAAATATATAAAATATAACTAAAATGGTATACACTACCCCAAATTAAAGAATGAATGGGTGATGTGTTAGAGTGGACCTAATTATATGATTAAATGACATAATCATTGAGAGGCTCTGCCGACGTTAAAACAATAAAGCCAAAAACAGGAAACTCGAGCATCATGGTGGTTATTAATTACGTACCTTTTAATTTTTTACTTTAATTTGTTTATATTTTTATTATCATTATCATTTCAGTTAAGCACATCTAATGATTGTGATTAACAGCCAGGTCTTCCTAATCTGCAAAGATAGTCAATAAAAGCGGGAAAAATCGAAAACAAATAAATAAAAAATGACAGGAAGACAGGAAAGAAAAGAGTGGAAAAGGGAGAGCTGTGATCACATGGACTTGTCTTTCCCTTACTGGCTCCTTCATTCTACCTTTTCTTTCATACCCTCTCTTTCTCTCTTTCCATTCTCTTCTTCTTCTTCTTCTTTTTCCTAGATTCTTCCTCTTTTCTCTCTACCCTCTGCCATGGCTGAGGATAAGGTACTTTTCCAGCTCAAAAAATTCTCTTGATAGTCTTGTTATTGTATGGTTGGTGAGAAAGCGTAGTGACCCAGAAATGGGAGAGTTGAAAATGTCTCTTGGGATTTTCTCGTTGGTTAGTGGATGAAACGGAAATCATATGGGATGCATAATTTTTGTTTTTATATTTATTTAGTTTTTGTTTATTCCTTTCAGTTGGAAAAAGGGGATGTTGGGGTTTGTTATTTGGGGATGAAAATTCTTTTTTTCTTTTGGCTGAAAGTTTTGTCTTTGAGCTTAAGGCTGAAAGCCATGTTTTGCTATTTTTGGAGTTGATCTATGGTTTTCCGTGAAGTTTCAATTTTTTTTTTTCTTGAAAGAGGTCCTGAACTGGGTTTTATACTTAGTTGAGATTTGTTTGTTTCCGACCCCTGTATCGTACTCTGATCTTGTATATTATAATCTTATGTCATTGTCGCACTCTTAGCTATTTGTGTTTTTCTTGTTTGTCCTGAACTTATTATGATAGTTTCGTTTTCTAGTTGTTCACGAGATTTTCTTTTATTTCTGACTCTGTTATCCAGTTTTCTGTTATCTGCATTAGCCGTTACTTTATTTTTATTTATTTTAGTTACATTACTGGTTGTGTTCCCTTCTGTTCTTACTTTCAACGACTTCAATTGGAGTTTGTACTCTTAACATAGTACTGTTATAGTTCTTGGTTCCATGTCTATAATTTTCTTAGCAGAATATTTCCACCACTGAAGTTTCCAAAATATCATTCTGAAGTTGCTCTCACCCGGTGTTTTTTTTTCTCATGTTATTCTCAAACTTGAGTTATTAAATGTGATGTTCTAATTGGGTATTTTTTTATCATCATAACCTCCAACTAGTGTTTTTTATATGGCTTCCAGTTGGTTAAATGCATTCTTCCAACTTTTACATGCTGTTTATCATCGTAGTCTCCACCTAGTTTTTTAATGTCTGCCTATTGTTTAAGTGTATTCTTCCAACTTTTAGCTTCCTTCTGAGACCATTAGCAAATGATTCAAAAATATTTTGTGAAGAAGGTTAGGATTCTAATATTTTATATACCTTTACAATTTAAAGGAGATGTCCTCCTCGGTCGTCAATGACAATGATTCCCTCACTGGTCACATCATATCCACAACTATCGGAGGCAAAAACGGGGAGCCCAAACAGGTATCATCTTTGTAAATTCCTTTCTGCTAATAATATTAGGCTTATGTTGATTTGTTGCTTGGTTGTTAAAAATGCCGTATGACATTTATCTTGGACTGCAAATTTAATGTCTTTCTACAATCATCATCGTAGACTATTAGTTACAAGGCCGAACGAGTTGTAGGAACTGGCTCGTTTGGAATTGTTTTCCAGGTATGCTAATTGTTTAATACTTGGTTTATTACTCTTGCTATCTTCGTCACATATGTTGATAATTCTTTGTCTTGTAGGCAAAATGCTTGGAAACTGGGGAGGCAGTGGCCATTAAAAAGGTTTTACAGGACAGAAGATACAAGAACCGTGAACTACAGTTAATGCGAGTCTTGGATCATCCAAATGTGATCTCACTGAAGCATTGTTTCTTCTCAACTACAAGTACAGATGAACTTTTTCTAAATTTGGTGATGGAATATGTTCCAGAGTCCATGTATAGAGTCTTAAAGCACTACAGCAATGCTAATCAAAGAATGCCGATCATCTATGTGAAACTTTACATGTACCAGGTATGCCTAATACTTTTTGGTGATTTATTAATATCTCTGATTTATTAAAGCGGTGTCTGATAAAAGTTTGTGGCATGCTAGCAGATTTTCAGGGGATTGGCTTATATTCACACTGTTCCCAAAGTTTGCCACAGAGACTTGAAGCCTCAAAATATTCTGGTTTGTTCACATGTTTTTTAATATGTATATATTGTGAGAGAACTTCTTTATATGTGAGAATGAGAGAAGTAAAAATGGCACACACACACACACATATATATATATATATATATATATATTTGTCTTATTCATTCTTAAAAAAATAGTCAATATTTCTGACTTTAATGTGTTTCTATGAATATTTCAGGTGGATCCTCTTACACACCAAGTAAAGCTATGTGATTTTGGAAGTGCCAAAGTTCTAGTAGGTCTTATTTTGCTTTGGTATGCTTAGTTTTTGTCCACCTTTTTCACACACCATTATCTTTTATATTGACTAAGTAATAGCTTAGAATGTCAACCAATAACCTATCCACGGCCCAAAAAAATTGTACTTTATAT